TTTTTTTTTTTTTTTTTCTTGTTTAGAAGGCTCTACGTTCATTTTCAGGTCACTGTGACGTCACGTCCAGAAACTTTGAGAAAGCTCTGCCAAACACATGCAGTACAGATAGTGAAGCATTGTAACAATGGCCTCAATGTCAAAAAGAAACGAGCTCTTGACTTGATCACTTCTCTTATAGCTCTACTTCTTCAGGTAAAATATCTCTTGGACTGGTAATTTTGGGAGATTTTTAAAGTTATTAGTTTTATTTAATCTCTTCTAGATTTTTCAACTTAGTTCTCTTGTAGGACATGTGAGCCAAAAATACGTATCCTCCCAGGTACTGCTATCTATAGAAAACAATTATTTTAATAATTTTGTAATTAAGGTGAGATCGCTGGGCCAGCAGCGGTGTACAGCTTATGACCTCCATACTCTCGCAGAATCATTAACGGACATTCGCAAATTTATTCAACCGTCTAATACTGCTGCTTTTCAAGATTACGTTGAAGTTCATATGAAGCAAATTCATAACATGATGCTTAACAGTGGTGCTGTTTAGACCTGACAACTTTTCCAAAAGAAATTTTTTGAGTTAAATACATTTGAGGCTTTTTCCGTTCCCTTCACTTTAGCAGTCGTTAATGTGGCTGGATTCCCACAGTATCCTTGATTTTAAAACTTAAGTGTTTTCGCAATTAAAGATTTTTTAAGACTTAAATTATTCAGTTGCAGATGTTTCGCCTTATAATATTTGCCATTAATGGACTTTTTACAACAATGTTTCGCCGTACTGGTTGTTTATTTGCATTAGTATTTATTATTGTAATATAGTGAAATATGGGGTGGGACACTGTAAACGTTGTAAAGGCTATAAAGTACAAACTAAATTCCTTTTTACAGACCGTTCGTTTGCTGCACAAATTAGAGATCAGTAACGTCTTTTGACCGTCAGATGTTCTTAGTTTCACAGTGCAGCCGTGAAGTTTGGTTTAGAAATGTTCCTACTGCGTTCAATACCTGTTTTTACAAAATAGGAGGCGTGTGAAGCATATATACGTGAGCCACACAGCAGTTATACCTTTAAGGCATTAGAGATTCTCATTACCTCTTTCTGCTAAAAAGTTTGTTTCTTGGTGGGTTCGTCAAACTCGCGTTGTCCGACAGTGTTTGTGCTTTGGTAGGACCATCGTGGCTAAGGTGTGCAGAATTATCAAAGTTAGCGAGTCGAAGGACAGTTTCAGATTGTTTTATTTCGAGGTAACGTCTAGTCAGTTACGTGTCAGCCAGAAGAGACTTAGAATCGTATGAGAAAACAATCAGATAATTTAAAACGATTAACCATCAAAAACTAGTAGATTGGTCCATGTTTAAGCTTAGTTTGGTTACATCGAGAAAAAGAGAGAAATTTCTAAAAACACTCGATCAGATAAGTTAAGACCCGTATTGCATGTGGAAAAAGAAAGTTGCAGTCTTAACACACCAAATACCTTAATACATTATTAACAGAAAGCGGTAAGGTCCATTTGAAACTGATGCTGCATCTCGAGATGCAGAAAGTGTGTCCCAAACTAACTTCTCCAGTGAGATTCTTCATTCAAACTGTTTTATAAAGCTGTTGGTAAATTGCCGTTATGTTAGCGTAGAGGCCTGCTCCGATTGCAAAAAATCCAATACCCATTACAAATATGTTGATAGATATTTTTAAGATCCGCTTTTTTAAAGACAACAGTACCTGAAATTTGGAATTTTGCTACAAGAATCCTGCACGTAGCCCAATTGCAACTGATGTATACTCACCTTCCAGTCGCTCCAAAATGTTATCATTTCAAACAAAGGTGGATACACTAATGCACAAAGAGTACCACTAGAAACCCCAACTAGTGGAATCATTATTTCCAAATGGGGAACGCTGACTGCCATCAAGTATGTTATCAGAACCCAAAATATTCTGAAATAAGTTTCATCTTCCAGTTTTTTTGACAAAAACCATAGTTATATTCATTTATTGGTGCAACAACACAAGACTCCTGCTCCCCTATTCAATGAATTCAATGTGCCAAATTCTAAATTGTACTAGATTGTTTCGGAGGTTACATCCACTTTTCCTTAGATCAGAGAATGTTTTGCTAATGGGGAAATTTTGATTCCTTCAAACCTGAAGTTTCCACCTCTCAATTTTTTTGTACTGTCCGTAACATTTATTTCAATTCACGACGGCACAAATGGCAGCAATAGTACTGCGAGCAAATTCTTCATAATTGGAGTTCTTTTCGCGTATAAAACGTACAGTTTAAGATAAGCCAGGTAAAATTAATCCAAAATGTGGGAAATTAGCTAACATAATCACCTTCGATTCTCCCAAAATTATCTTAGCTTTTTTTCTAGGAACAAAGTTTTTTTCGGATTCTGATTAACAACGTACCAGAAGTGGATAAAACTTCCGAAGCAACTCGGTACAAATTAATATTTGATAAAAGATTAAGAACTCATGCAAGCAAGCCACAGATGAAAAATTTCTGGTATAAAGAGATGCGATCTTTCAGAAAAAAATTTTTTGAATCAACATCTTGAAGCCAGACATACCTAAAGCCTTTATCCACGATAAACTTCGGACAGTTAGGAAAACGGACAGTAAATTTCCTCCGAAAACCATTAAAGAACATATCAAGGATAACATACATAGCAATTGAATGTCCTAGCATTGACTGCAGCATCAAAAATACGTTTACTGTTGAGTACAACCTGAAAATTAAAGCACATTATGGAAAAGAAATAAAAGTAGCTTTTATGCATCCAAATAAAGGCATAAAAATCTTGCGGTTTATTCAGAATTACTGTGTACCCGTCTCTAGGGACGTTCATTGTGATTGCAGGTGCAATATCGTCACCAAATGCCGTGTAACCGTAGAATCCTATTGCAGTCATAAAAACTGTGCATAAGATCATTGTCGTTGGTAAAACACCCATATTATTAAGAAAATCATCGGGAGTTTCCAGCTTATTCTCAACGGGTAGGATCTAGAAAAGAGTTAAAAGGATGAAACCCAACATTATCTAGCAGTGGCACTAGAACAAAAAATTGAAAAACTGCATATATAAAATAAGTAATTGTCGAAAAACTGGCTTTACAGTTCCCACTTAGTAAAAGCAAACTTTAAAAGTTTTCTTGTTTTTCTTGCAACATTTCAGGAATGATAAATTGGAAAAGCTGTAGAAATATTAAACACCATAGTCTGTCCTTCAAAAGAATACATAGATATTCCAATAAACATTATAGTCCCGGCAAATGTACCCGATACCGGCAATGAAGCCCATTTAGTTGGTTGCCGAATAGCATACTGCATTATAACACATGTTCCCAATAAAAAAAAAATTGAAGAAATTACTGCAAATACGCTTATAACACGCATTTCTGTGAACATATTCGTTAACAGTATAAATCCTGAAATGTCTTTGGTAAAACACCCATATTATTAACTTTATTAAATAACTTTACAGTGATGCTTTTTTTTTATTACACTTTAATTTTTGGTTTTAGGTACATGGTGAATGTATTTGTTAACTATATAAATTCTGGAATATTTTCTAACAAGAAAACCAACTAAATTTAAGCGTAGGATATTGAGTAGCAAAAAATTGAAAGACATAACC